CTGAGGCAACAGCAGAATTAGAGAAAGCCTTTAAAAAATCCTTTGTTTTCAACAGTCTTCAACTGTGGTTACTTTAACTGACAATTTGTTTTGTGAATTGGGAGACATCAAGAATTACTTTTCATTGGATCTGTATTTTACAGGGAATGAAATCAGAACTTCTTGTAGTTTCTCTTCTGTAGCTGAGTGACAGGCATTAAACAAAGAGGATTGTTCAGATTTCAGTAGTTATTTTCAATCATGTTAGAAAAAAGAAAGTTAAATCTTCATGAAAGAGAAAATGAGTCCCCTTGAGTGTCACTCTGTTTGCACATTAGCACATAGCAAGGTCTTTGCCAAGTTGCTCTCTGACTGACTGCTGCAGATGCTCTTTCTCAAGTATTCAGAGTCAGATCTTTAGTGCAAGTCTTCAGGGACAAACAATAGCACCTGTTCCTCACAAGATATCAGGCTAGTTAGTCCATTCATGTATCTTTAATGAAGCTCCAGGGCAGATGGCAAAAATAAAAAGGCACCATCATCAAGTTAGCAAAGGAGACAGAAAGAAAGAGGTGTTGGTGCAACAATATATTGCTTTTCTGAAGAGGAAGAAAAGAGAGTCCAGAGTTTTTCTTTGGCATCTGCTGGTGTCATGATTTTTCAGAAAGACTCAAGGAACAGAGAAGCAATTAACCTTTTTGAGAATTTATATGACTTAATGAAGCTGGCTATCCTCACCCTGCTAGATCAACTAGCATAAAACACTAAGGGCTACATCTTCAATGTTTGCTTCCAGCATACCCAGAGAGAATGCCATTCGCTTAGTTCATCACTGTGTATGCTATTTTATTTTATTTTTTTAAAAAGGGAGGGCACATTTTACTCCATAGTGCATACTTTATGCCTTTTGTCCTGTGTAGGGATTCTTGTTCTCACTACACACCTTATACATTTGTCCTGGTTCTCCAATATACACTTGTTTCTGGTTAACTCAGAAAAAAGGGGACACTAAGTCTTGTCTGCTTCTGCTGTGCCACATTATCTGAATATTAGAGGATTTGAGAACATCCACACTTAAAGTATGAAGGTTTGTGGAAGCTTCATTCCCATAATCTCTTTGTAAGCTTCAAGACTTGTGACTGCAAATCAGAAAAGCACATGTCGGTTTCACTTTCCTTGCCCTCCACCTTATTTTTTTGTCATATTATGGGCCCCCCATCAAAGGTATTCTGTGCTTCTCACTGTGCTTCCAGTCCTACTTGAATACAGTGGTACCTTGGGTTAAGTACCGGTACTTAATTTGTTCCAGAGGTCTGTACTTAACCTGAAGCACCACTTTAGCTAATGGGGCCATCTGCTGCCACCACGCCGCTGGAGCACGATTTCTGTTCTCAACCTGAAGCAAAGTTCTTAACCTGAAGCACTATTTCTGGGTTAGCGGAGTCTGTAACCTGAAGCGTATGTAACCTGAAGTGTATGTAACCCGAGGTACCACTGTAGTCGTTTCCAGAGGGTGCTGCTTAAGGAGTGCTCTTCAGCCCTGTGGAGCCTTCAATATGGAGTTGCTCAGGGTTCAGATTTATCCCCCATGCTGTTTAACTTCTACATGAAACCACTGAGTGGAGTCATCTGGAGTGTTAGAGCAGTGTTTCCCAACCTTGGGCCTCCAGCTGTTTTTGGACTACAACTCCCATCATCCCTAGCTAGCAAGACCAGTGGTCAGGGATGATGGGAATTGTAGTTCAAAAACAGCTGGAGGCCCAAGGTTGGGAAACACTGTGTTAGAGTATGTTGGCAGCAATATGCTGAGGACACACAGCTCTACTTTCCCTTTACATTTGCAGGTGTAACAGTAGATGCGATGGACCGTTGTTTAGCTTCAGTAATGGACTGGATGAGAGCCAACAATATGAAGCTCAATCCTAATAAGACTGAGGCACTGTTAGTTGGTGGTTACCTAGACTGGATGGGTGCAAGGTTGCCTGCTCTTGATGGGGTTACACTCCCTCTGAAGGAGCAGGTACACAGCTTGTGGGTACTTGTGGATCTTTCCTGTCACTTGAGGCTCAGGTGGCTTCAGTAGCATGGAGTGTCTTCAGTCAGCTTTCGCTGGTGGCCCAGCTGCACCCCTATCTGGACAGGGATAATCTAACTTCCGTTGTCTATGCTCTGGTAAACTCTAGGTTAGGTTGCTGCAACATATTATACATGGGGGTGCTTCTGAAGGCAGTTTGGAAACTTCTGCTGGTGCAGAATTCAGTGGCCAGGTGGCTCACCGGGGCAAGATGGTTTGAGCATATTGTACCAATCCTGGCCCGACTACACTGGCTGCCAATTAGTTTCCAGGCCCAATTCAGAGTGCTGGTTTAAAGCCTTAAACAGCTCAGAATTGCAATGCTTCAAACACTGCCAGTCCCCATATGAAGTGACTCAGACCCTGTGATCATCATCTGAAGTCCTTCTTCGTGTGCCTTCTCCATGAAAGGCCTGGAGGGCAGCAACACGAGAATGGGTCTTTTCTGTGGTGGCTCCCCGTTTGTGGAATGCTCTCCCCAGGGATGCTTGCCTGGCGGCTTTGTAGCATATCTTTAGGTGCAAGGCAAAAACATCCCTCTTCTCCCAGGCCTTTGGCTAATTAAACAATCTAGGTCCTTTTAAACTGTCGGGGGGGGGGTATTGTCTTCATTTGTATGTACAGTGGTACCTCGGTTTACACGTTTACCTCAGGTTAAGAACCGTTCCAGGTTAAGAATGGACCTCCAGAACGAATTAAGTTCTTAACCCGAGGTACCACTGTAGTATGTATTTTTTTGTTTTTATATTGTGAACGGCCCTGTAATCTTTGGATGAAGGGCAGTATGGGTGGATGGATGGATGGATGGATACATAGATAGGCCGCCATACGTATAGCTGTCACATTGGTAAGGGCTAGTCCCTTATTGCCCTGAGATATCCTAGTTTTCCATTTTTAGAGAGAATATAAATAAATAAATAAAAATACCAGATCTACACATGAATAGATCTTCTCTGAAATTTTAGCATAAATAAATTTACATATATCCCAATGTTCAGTAACAGTCAGTGATCTGAAATAGTAATGGGGGGCACTCACAGTATGACTACCATGTCATACTGGATGATATTATAGACAGAGGGGTGAAATCAAATATATTTTGAGTAACAACCCAGCCCCTTCTATAACATCTAATTTTGCACTTAATGCACAGTTGTCATAAATCATGCACACCAGAGGAACAAACTTCAGTCACTTCCAGAAATGGCCACTGCGTTAGTATACATGCTGCTGCTTCCTTCTCAAGTAAATGCGGTTGTCTTTTGGCTTTGGTCTGCAACATCTGGCCATAGTCTACTTGGCTATTGTGGTAGATGACTTCAAATTTACTCTTTACTACTTTAATTTCAGGAGTTGTGAATGACTCTGGATCAGTTTGATTCAACATGCACTCTAAAAGCACTCAAAATTATTGTGAAACTCATTTTATTTAGTTCCTAAATGATGGCATACCGCCGCCTTTAGACACTGACATTGTTTTTGCTTGTTTATTCAACGGCCTATAGGAACAATTATCATGCAACCAACTTGGTAGTGTATAAAAAGTTGATACTGGACACAGGGGGATCGACTTCAATTTAACCATGTTAAATTTGTCACTAACATGGAGAAACTGGGCTTACATCAGCTAAAATAAAAGAAATGGCTGCTCATAGCTAGTTTCTTTCACGCCCCAGTGCCATGGCAGTAATTGCACAAAGACCTTTTTATTATAAGTTGATTTTCCTGAGAAATGGATTCCGAAAAATACTGTAAAGTGTTTATGTTTTGCTTGACCTTTATTAACCTACATCTTAGGGCTTTTCCCCCAGAGAAGAGTTGTTGGTAAATTAGCTCTCTTAGAAGCGCACACACAGTAGCCTTTCTGGTCTGCATCAGATGTTGGGAGAGGAACATGGATATGACAAGAAAATTTGGCACTATTTAAACAGTGTCATAGGTCAACATATGGATTTTTACCACTAAAAAAGTTTTGTAGGAATTAAATCCCAACAAAAAGCCACTGAAGTTTATTTTTAATAGAATTTGAAACCACTCGTTTGCAACAAGAGAAGGGGCTGAAATTATTTTCTGATTATAAAACAATTCATTTTTATACTTTTTTGTAATCATCGGCAAAATCCTTGCATTAGTTCTGAGTAAGCCAAAAGAAAAAAGAAATATGGCATTTCATTGGATCCAGCCATCTTTTGGCATAGTTGTCATGATCCAGGTATTTGGAGAAATAAAGCTGAATATTAAAATCTCCTGATTCCCACCTCTCTAGTTCTGTTTGCCCAAATATAAAGCCTGATAAGTATCTGAATAATTTTCTGCTTCTGTATTTTTACTTTATTTCAACGTTTTGGCTTTTGATACATTTATGAAGGTCATATGAAATTTGATGCAGTGGGATTTATTCTAAAATGGTCAATACCACACAATAAATATCAGGCTTTATGATAGTGTTTAATGCTATAAACTGGATAGACAAGCAAAATATTAGTTTAATTGAAAGCCAAGAATTTTGGTTTCATTTAAAGAGGTACTGAAATTTTGCTAGTCGTTTGAAAACATTGAATTATTTGCCGTATAGGTTCAGTAGGTTGAATTTTAAAAAAGTGCTTGAATTTTGCACTTGAACGTAACATCATTTTAGAAACAAATGAAACTATAAAGTACAGAAGCGGGATGAAAAACAAAAAGGAGAGTGAGAGAAATCTTGTTTTAGAGCAGATTTAAGCAAAACCTAGTAGAACAAAAAAAAGTACAGGTTGTTGCACCTTTGACATTGAGGGAGAACAAAGCTACTATGGCTTTGATGTGACAATGTGAAATTGGCAAGGATTAGGGTTAGGAGAAGGTTTGGTTGGACTCTGTGAATGCAGGCACACTATCAGTGCTGGAGAGTTATCTGTCAGGACAAATTTGTGCTATTTCTGATCAGAGACTGTCTTCTGTTTAGCAGGTTCAGGGTCACATGCCTCCGCTCATGATCCCAATTTTTCCACACGACCAGCGGACATTGGCAGCGGCTGCTGCAGCCCAGCAGGGATTCCTTTTCCCCCCAGGAATAACTTACAAGCCAGGTAAGTTGACAGGGTTGTGAAGCTATTTAACATGTTACGATATTAGCCATGGCTACTCCTTGTAATCTGCCTGGTATGGACAGTGATATGTAAAAGCTGGGGGATTTAAGCTGGGGGAAGGGGTGGGGAGGAAAGGAAATATGTGGATTTCTTTTGCAAGTCTAGATGAAAACTTCTTCCAGAGAGAACCAGGGAATTGGCTTCTCAGGGCCATATTTATTTTACTTCTGTATACCACAAAATTATTTCCTTTGAATTTATTGACTTTCTTCTCTGCCAATTTGTGAGAGTAGCCTGGTTCTTTATGAGGTTACATATATATCTTTTTAAGGCCCTTTTATCATCAGAATATATATATATACACATACTAGTGTTTTGTGCAAGCCATCTTTATAATTAGAGATAAAAAGTAAAGGTAGGTATGATTTAATTTGTGTATTTCAATTGGGCAGCAATTTATACGATTTCCATCTAAATAACAGAGGTTTCAGCAGTTCAGCTACAATCATCAATTCAGGCTTGTAACAGGTCATGCAACTTCGCAGTGAGAGATGTTTGGAGATGATTCAGCAAATATTATGATTTCTTTCTTTATTCCTTTGAGTTTACTGTGCTCCTGGGGAATTCAATTAGGGATATAATGGTTTGAAGCTACTTTCAGCGTCTCCTTGTAAACAGGACTTTAAATGTTTAAAGCCACATTAGCAAAGAAACTCAGGGTAAGGAGATATTTAAGTAAATAAAAATCAACCTTATTTTCATGTGTATATTCCTTGTAAACCTACATCTCAGCCAGAAGCAGCATCTTTATTTTTCTAATTAATCTCACCCCCTCTAATTAATATTAAACAACAAAATGGTTGCAGCATTTCCTTTGAATGTTAGATGCAAAATTTTCATTTGGAATCTGCTACTGCTGTTAATGGGAATGTTGCAGTGGCTTTCAGAAAAAGGTGGGATCGGTTCTGAAACAAAACCATATGTTTTAGAATGTAAACTGCATATTAAATGTAATCCAAGTTAAATATAAACTCTTTTCAAGTAAGTTTAGTAAGATATTGTGCCAAATAACACTGCAGAAATTATTTCCATTTCTTCCGCTCTGCTCTGTCTTGGTAGTTTCTTAAAAATACATTTACGGAAAACGGATTTTTAGATGCTAAGTGTCAGAATTGGACTGGAATGGCTAGAATCTAGCCCTCCACTCAGTCATTGACTGATTTGTGATCTGGGATACATACTTTGCCTTAACTTCCCCCAATTAATCTGTGAAATGATGATGTCCTCATGTGAGTGAGAAACATTGTCCTTTTATGTACTAAACATGTTGAAACGAGTCTAACTATTGGCAATGCGAACAACCAAGCTACCGTATTTTTCGCTCTATTGGACGCACCGGACCATAGGAGGGGGAGAATAGGAAAAAAATGTTTTTTCTTGTTCTCCCCCTCAAAAACAAGGTGTGTTCAAGGTGCGTTCAAGAGCAGGCCTTGCCGCTGCCTCCCGAGCCTCAAAGATCCCTGAAGCCTTTGGAGCGCAGCAGCTGCACTCCAAAGGCTTGAGGCTTCGGGGACATCCTTTGTAGCCTCCGCAGGGCGGCGGGGTGCCCACCGCCCTGCGGAGGCTTTGCGCAGCCTTCCCGAAGCTGGAACAGCAAGACGGAGGGCTGTGCAGCACTCCGTCTCACTGCTTTGGCTTTGGGGACAACAGGCTGCTATCCGCAAGCCTTGGGAGCCCAGCAGGAACTCCCGCTTCATTTTCGGAGGGGAAAAAGTGCATCCTATAGAGTGAAAAATACGGAATATAAGAAGATAAGAAAATTGGCACAGTTCCTGCTTGTAGGTGTCATTTTAAGGGATGTTTTAGATGTAGTTCTCTCCCCTCCAGGTTTGCACATCAGGTATCATGCAAGAGCATTACAGGGAGTCGCAGGTTTGTGCATGCCTCTCATATTTCCTTCTAGCCTTGACTTTTTTAGACAGTGCAAGTTGAGTCACCTACATGGGACACAAGAAGTGGCCTTTTGCTGGGTCACACTCCTTATCTCTAGGGGCTCAAGGAGGCATTCAGCTAACGGCTCCCATTACTGACCTGAGCAAAGACTACACTTGCACAACAGGACTTGCCTTCCTCCCCCACATCCCAGAAATTGATTCAGGAGGGGTCAGGAGAACACCAGGAACAGCAAGGGGCAGGAGAGGGGAGACCATTCTGTCCTGCAAGCCGAAATTATTGCGCTGATGGAATGATCAGAAGAACGCAATGCTATATACTCCCTCAGGAAGGAATCTTTCATGTCACATGTATCTGAGCCTTAAAAAAACAAAAATGGGAGAGATCAGGGACTGAAGCTGGGACCTTCTGCATGCCAACAATGTCTTCTACCTCCTCCCTTGTGTCACAGCTATTAGAGATTACAGGGTCCCAAGCTAGCAAATATCAATCATGAATGTGATAACAGATTTCTTAAAATTAGCTAACATACTTCTCAAGATTGTATAATATAATTTTCCAGCATAGCAAGTACTAATTGAGAAATCTGGGCTGCATAGATCACCTAATTAATTTTTATAGGTACTCCTTTTGGTATATATAGCACATACCAGATTAATTAAAACTTTAAGATGCTGTGTAACTCAAATTACTGTTGTCTGCTGACCCACATACACTTGACAATTCTCTCAGGACACCCTACTATAGAAGTTGGACCATATTTAAATTAGATACATAAAGTAGAGCTATTACAAAGCCAACAATTATTTGCATGGATCGAGCAATTACTCTTGATTACATTGACTCCTTCATATCATGGGAAAAGTACTATGAATGGTTTGAGATCTTTGGCAAATATGAAGACATGCTAGTTGACTGTTAATTTAGTCAAGCATGGGGAAAATGTTACTGGGTAGGAAATATGAAAGCTGGTCTAAGTGTTATGGCTAAGAAAGTGAGCAGTGAGCCAGCAAGTCCCTGATTCAAATCTCATCTAATTTATGAGCTCACTAGTTTCCTTAGGCAAACCGCTATTGCTCACTGTGAACTGTTTTCTCTGCTATATGCAGATAATAACATTGATCTTCTTTACATAGTTGTTGTAATGCAGGTGATGTCCTATAGCTATGCTGTTTTTGTGAATTTATACTTGTAGTGTTAAGGGACGCGGGTGGCGCTGTGGGTAAAAGCCTCAGCGCCTAGGACTTGCCGATCGAAAGGTCGGCGGTTCGAATCCCCGCGGCGGGGTGCTCTCCCGTTGCTCAGTCCCAGCGCCTGCCAACCTAGCAGTTCGAAAGCACCCCGGGTGCAAGTAGATAAATAGGGACCGCTTACTAGCGGGAAGGTAAACGGCGTTCCGTGTGCTGCGCTGGCTCGCCAGATGCAGCTTGTCACGCTGGCCACGTGACCCGGAAGTGTCTCCGGACAGCGCTGGCCCCTGGCCTCTTGAGTGAGATGGGCGCACAACCCCAGAGTCTGTCAAGACTGGCCCGTACGGGCAGGGGTACCTTTACCTTTACTTGTTCTGTTCAGGATCAAGAAGTGGCTAATATCATGATTTAGGGTCCTCCCTACTCCCATAGCCTCTTTCTTTTGTGCCATGCTGTGACTAAGGGAAAGTAGCAGGAAAATGTTATTGTGCTCATATTCTGCTTATGGGCTTCCCATATGCATCTGGCTAGCTGCGGTGGAAACAGGATACAGGACTAGACAGAACTTTGGTACGATCCTGCAAGGTTCTTGACATACACAGTCTTAACATACTTAATAGTTTCAGTTGTTCAGATTATATGTCAAAAGCAGAACAAAAACCAAGGTGTTTTGTGTTGCCATACTTTTTATTTTGAGGCCTTGTTTAGCTTAGTTTAGAAAAGGTGTCCTTCACTTCCTGATTAAAGGAAGAATTAACCACAAAAATGGTTAAATCAGAACATCTGCATAACTCAGATTTACCATCTTGGCTGTTCTTTTTGCAAGACTAGATCTGAGCTAACAACTCTATTATACTGTTATTTTTATTATGTCAGAAGCAAGCTATAAAGCACCAATAGCTATAGATCAAATCCCTTGCTTTTTATTCTAGGAAGGGTTGTGCAATTCTTTAGCAATTTACTTTAATTAGCATTAACATTGTTTTGTCAAATACACTGGAAGGGAAACTGATCAGTTTTCAAAGTGGTTGAGCGTGTAGCGAACAGCTGTGGTCAATTGGACTTCTTGACCTGCGCACACAGAGCAACAAACATTTGTGTAGAATCATCGGAAGTCATGATCTATACACGAATTTCCAACTGTTTCAGAGAATGAAAGGTGCCTTCCATGCAGGAAAATGAAAATGTATGGAGCAGTCCTTAATGTTCAAAACCAGGAAACACTGCTTTGCTCTGGATTTAGAACAATGTGCTTCTAGTATGTGCTGCAGCTGCCCACAATTGTTTAAAGAGCACTGGCCAGTTTGAAATCTGAAACAGAAGTTGGTAAATCATTCTGGGACTTAATAAGCACCTATGTATATATAAACAATAGAAGCACCAATATAAATAGGCATTCAGCAAAGCCGGGGAGCTGAGAAGGGTAGTTTTCAAAACAAGGATGACTGGGGATTTGTTCCCCCCACCCCGTTCCTTGAGCCATTCTCCCAGTAATCAAGACTAGTACACACCTATGCCTTCAAAGGACCTGTTCTGACTTGTTTTGTCTACCTTCATAAAATTAAAGAAGAATAGGTCCTCACGCAAGCATTCCAAATCCAGAAACAAATTTGAAAAAAATTGCTACAACATGTTGAGTGATAGATTGCCAAGACAGCTACCAATAAGATCCTTGATCTATTTTGCATGTGTCTGTGTGTGTGTGTGGTGTGCGTGCTTGGAAAATTAAAAGTGGAAATATGCATCTTCTGCAATTAAAAATGTAAAACTTTCACCATCTCTCTCCTTTGTCCCCGGCTCCTGGCCCCTGCCTCTCCCCACAAGGAACCTGTCCCTGCTTTAGTTCTTCTCATCTTGTCAGCAAAACATTCCATTCGTATGAAGTGTCATGCTTTGTTCTCTGGATAATGCTATTATATAATGCAGTAGGATTACGTTAACCATATACAGTTCACTTTAAAATGCTCCCATTTAATCCTAGAAGGGACACTTCCTGATTTGGGGGGTCGGGAAGAGAGAAACATAGGAATGGGGGGGGGGTGTCATAAGTAAAAGGGAAAGCAATAGCCAGCAGGTGATCCAGAGAACACTATAGGGTGTGGTATAGACACTAATAAATTAACCTTAAGGTAGGTGTGTGTGTGTGTGTGTGTGTGTGTGTGTGTGTGTGTGTGTGTATCCATGGAAGCATGACAGCTGTGAGTGCTACAGGGAATTCTTTTAGGGTTTGATTTTTCCCCTCAAAAAAAAATGTTTGACATGGAAAATGTTTTAGTACAAATAAAGCAACTACTCTTGAATTTACAAAAGGGGGAAATAGTGACAGGGTTGCTGCATGGAACGGGGATAAATAATTCATAATATTTAAAGAAAGAATGCCTTGGAAATGTTCAGCAATGCAGTCCATGCTTGTGCTTGAATGCTTATTTCTCTCCTATTTAAAGCATCATTTATTCAATATCTTTGTGATGACTTCTTTTTTTTAAAGTCTGTTTACCAAAGAAACATTATTTAACTTTTTGATGAGGATACTCTATATTCAGATAATTTTGTTTAGCCTTCAAAGAAGATAAGCAGAATTATCTAACCATAGAGAGACAAGAGTTTTATACTTTAAGAAAGCAATTTAGTTATTTAAAAAACAACATCAGCCCTCTGCAAACTAAAATCAACCTCATAGAAAGGGGGAAAATAAGATCAGATTTTATGAATGTTACTCCATAGGACACCAGCACAATGTAGGTTAGCAAAGGCATTGTAGCAGTGCTCCATATGCAATCAGAAGCCAATTGTTAGTGGACTGTGTACAAGCACATACTGTGCTCAATGGTCTGATGAGGTATTATGGATATGATGCAGAGAGACATTGTGGATTAGAACTTCACAATTTGTTTAAAAAGTGAAAGCAACTTAACATTTACACTGAGCTTATCTGAGTCCTGTGGCGCTTTGGGTGGTAAGCAGAGGGAGGGTGCTTTATGAGGATTTCGGAGGCTTGGGAATTGAGGTGTTATGTGTGTTGGGGGAAACTTGCCATTCCCTGACTGCATTGTTTTGTATCCCTTCTACACCGCACCTACCTTATTACATTCTAAATGTAATATAGAGTTGATGCAAAGCAGCTTGGTTATTATAAATGTAAAAAATGTACAGAGGAGCAGCTTATTAAAACATAGCCTAGAGATAGTACATAACACTGACTTTAAATAAGAAGCTGAAGTGATACTCTATTAAAGCATGGTTATTGTGTAATTTATCAATCACTGTCTTTTTTTTTTTAATTGCAAGTTCATTTTTTAACCTCCCCTCCTCCCCCTCTCCCATTCTGCTTTCTACTTTGCAAAAGCGTGCTGAAGTGGTATGGGGAATGGGGTGGCTACAGACACTGCCTAGTTGTGGTGATAATCTGAAAAAGATACCATATATAGGTAACCATATTCACATAGGCAGCAAGCAGCCTCTTTTTTCTGGGTTTCTTATTTTAGCAGTAATTTTATAAATACCCTGGAATTGCAGTAGTACCTATGATTGTATTCTTATAAACATTAGGGATTCTGTAGGTTTGTGTCTAGTGCTTACTGTTTATATAAGATGTAAAATGCTGATAGATGTATTCCAACCCATTTCCCATCATCAATATGCATGGTACTTTACAGAGTCTCATGACAAAAATGACAGTTCCCTGGCCCATAATCTAAATTTCAACGGTGGTGGAAACAAAGGGAATGCAGAGGATAGGGAGCAAGGCTAGAAATGTGAGTTGACAAATATTAATGTGAACAAACCCATCTATGCAATTAAAGTATGATTATCCAAACAGCTTATTTTCAATGCTCAGTAGTGAATTGTGAATGTATTCTGCTGCCAACATGTGGAGTAGATAATGACTTTGGGGCTAATTCAGTGTTTGATCAGAGCATTGATCCATCTTAGAGATGAAGTAGGGAACCCAGGCTGAGATGAAATTTCTCAGAAACATTTTTTCCCTGTATGTTCGGCACCTTCTTTTCGTGTCAACCACCATGTCTTCCCCATTGTGCCCTGGAACGATACTAGGTCCATAGAATTGTGCAGAGTGATGGCCAGGCTTCCCATGAAGTTGCTGCTGCATTTACATCGGCATAAACAAAGGGAAAAGGCTGGGCTACCACCACTACTTCTTGTGAGCAACTCCCCTAAAACATGGTTGGAGAACTTCTCCCCGCCCCTGGGAGAAATTCAGTGAACCAGTCCTCTCAATTTCCCCACCTACAAATAGACTGGCGAATTTTGAGAAGCCGTTTATGCACAGCTCTTAAAAAAACCCCAAGCCCAACCTTTACCTAGGAGAAGATGGAGGCAGTTGAATCAATACGTGTTCCAACCAATACGTAGAGCATTTTTATCCACTGGGGATCCTGGGATTTGAAGTTGAATCCCAGGTCACTGGAGGGAAAAGTCACTTTTGTATAGTGAGAGCATGGTCTTCCTCTCCCTTCCTTCCTGCTGCTCTCCTGCTTGTGGAGTAGGAGAGGAGACAGAGAACCAGGGGTAGGGGGCTTGCTGATGGAATGCTGTGCTCTTAGTCATTTGAGGCCCCCCTGCTTCAAAAATTCATTCCCTCCATAATGCATGAGAAGTCACAAAATTAATTCACAGTGTTCTGTATGTTCCTTGATTTCATGGGAGATGGTTACTTTAAGAACAGTAAGCAGATAATTAGGTCTTGCTTTCATTTTGTTGAGAAATTATCTAGGGTTCTTCTGCACATTGCTGGGCACATCTTTTCCCTTTTGCCCTGAAGGATACATGAAGATCACGAATTAATGATAAAGGAAGACTGGTAACAGGGGTGCTCTTGAAATAGTCCTACCTGAGTGTGAGACACCAGGAATGGCATTGCAGTGGTCTTGGGAGAGACGATCCTGAAAGAGATTGTGCTTTCTTTGCTGTGAGCTGAGTTCTGGGTCAAATTCAGTGCCACCTTGCAGAGTCCAATCTGTAATCCACACTGAATATGTGTGTCTGACCACATTCTCACTGCCCCAGTGATATGGGAGGAAAAGAGCTCAGGATCTGCTGCTGTTTTGTTCTTGTTTCTCTGTGCATGGGACGTCCATCAAGGTTACTTCAGAGCAATTTATTGAAATCAGACCATGTCCACTAATTTACCTGTTACCCCAAAGAAGTGCAGCAATTATTTATTTTAAATCTAGAGAAATAGATGCACAGCATCTGACAAGACTGGGCACATAGCACTTTGTGTCGCTTATCGCTTGAAACCTATCTTAAATGAACGATTATTTTCCAAGGCAGCTATGCTTTGTGATCCGTAATAAGAGCCGGCATGCTTGGGTCTAAGCATTGCATTTTATGTTTTGCCAGTTTGCCTACTAGCAATCTGCTGAGCAGAAGTTCCAAGTTAGAGTTGCAAGTCTGTGCCCAGCAACCCCCTTTTGTTTTTGCAGATGTTTAGGCTTAGAGCAGTGTTGTGGAGCACAGGCCCTGTTCATACTTGTCTGCTGCTATTCTCTGCTCATTGTCTAAACCTGTATGCATTGTTCTTCTCGACAGGTGATAACTATCCTGTGCAGTTCATTCCATCAACAATGGCAGCTGCTGCTGCTTCTGGACTCAGCCCTTTACAGCTCCAGGTATGTGCCAGAACAAAAATATGTGGGCTTGAAGCCAATGCTTTAGTGGAAAACTGCTAACCAGCTGTATGCTAAGTAATGGCTTGAATGTTAAATAATTTTTTAAGCACAGCCCCAGAAGGATTAACACCTTATGTACTTAACATGCTGCAAACAGAACAGCATGCTGTCAGCCTTGATGCTGGGAAATACAGCCAACTTCGTATTTTATAACAATGAAGTTAATACATTTTGGGCAGGATCCTGCTTAAATTAAGCACTTTTTAATACAGTTGATTTTGGTCAGATAAGTATTATTTGATTCTTCTATTAAAACCAAAGTGATTTTAAAAAGTGCTTAACTTGTGCTAAGCTCTATACTCTGTACATGTTCTCTGCTTTGAGACTGGGGAAGAAAAAGTATGTAACTATTTACTGGAAGATATATTAATAGCATTTATGTTTCTTAAGCTACTTCTAAGTGTGCCCTGTTTAGCTGTTTTTGCTCATAGTGGGTGTCTGAATAAATGCATTATATTTTTTCTTTGGGGCTTGGTGATGACTGTTTCATAAACTGAACACTTGCAGCTTCTGTATTTATGGAATCTCAGCCTTTCCATGCGTTAAGTTGGTTGGATGCCAGCAGCCATCAGGAGTCTGAGTTTGGTCCCTTGCTAGGTCATTTATTTATTTTTGTCATAGGGGGAACTAAATGTTGTGTGAAAATGATTTACACTCCAATTTATTATATAGCTTTTTAATATTCCCCAAGAAAAGGCACAATAGTGTCAAATAATGAAGCAACAGTCAAAAGCTTACAAGGGGGTGTGTTTAGTCATCACGCTAGAGGTTTACCTCTTGGACATTTAAATGATGTGGCAAATATATCTTATACCTATTACCAGCCAAAAGAGTAGTAGTGTTAAGTCTCTAGCAGCAAAAGATTGCTGTGGTACCTCAGAGGCAAATAGGCTTATTCAGATATTAGTTTTTGCAGGCAACAGGGTAATTTATGCCACAATGAAATAGTCATTCTGTGGGGTGCAAGGGGATTTTAAAATCCTGTTAATAGTCAGCTGTTCTTCTTCAGGTGATGTCACATAAGGCTACATATGTGGATGGCCAGTCAAATAGGCCACATAGCAGGGAACTCTTCAACAACAGTGCCTAGAACTTGGCCCCCTCACCCCACTTGGCCACAGTATATGGGAACTAAGAGCTGAAAAGAAGAAGCAGGCTGCCTATGTCAGGGGTAACTATGTGCTGCCCTCCAGCTGTTGTTGGTCTACAACTTCCAACAGCTTCAATCCACATGGATAGTTGTCAGCGATGATGGGAACTGTGGCTCTCCCACCTCTCACCTATGTTGAGGAGATGCCACTGAAGAAATTGGATAACTTGTTAGCTTAAGTTGAGATAGTGGTGTTTGAGATAGGGGAGCTTGTTGCAGCTAGAGGTAGAGACACCTGTGCCTCTTTACCAGCCTGACTCATCTCTGCCTCTTGGCCTCCTCCATCCTACTCTCCTGATGCAGCTTCAACCTCTGCTCTCTGCCATAGACTCCCCATGCTCACTGAGCCCTGTTTCCTCTTCAGCTGCCAACACCTTCTCCTAGTCTTCTCCCTCCAACCACTCATCCTCGTCCCACCACAAATCTCCTGGCTCTGAGCCTTCTTCTGCTGGGGGTTCCCCAGCTGGTTTCTCCCACCATTTCTCTGTGTCCAACCAATCCATGATACACAATTACTTTCATGTTCTCATAGTAGTAAAGTGGATGAGAGTATATATATTAAGATTTGCCCCCACATTTCAGTTTTTTTGTTGAAAGATTTTTTTATCACAGTGCTTGCGAAGTTTCTGTTTAAATTTTACATTTCCATTGACAGACAGATGACACTACCAATAAACAAATCACTTAAATGATGTGTTGGCTTACTCATGAGGCTGTGTCCTACATATTTCAGAGATAATCTAATTGCTTTTTTAGAAGCTAAAGAGATCAGATAATAACTAAAGGCTTGCAGTTCAACAAGTACTTCAGAACACTATTATCTGAACCATTTTCTAGAAGTTCTACCAAACCCAATAGTGAAATTCCTGATTGAGACTCTTACGTAACCTGTCTCTCAAACCTTAGGGATGATTGAAATTCCTGATTGAGACTCTTACGTAATCTGTCTCTCAAACCTTTAGAGATGGCAAAATATCAGCTTTTTTAAAACACCATTTTATAAGTGTTCTTGAACCATTGATAGTTGTTTTCACATTCACTCTCAGAATCAAAGAGCTTAAGAACATAAGAAGAAGCTGATAAATCAGGCCAATAGCCATCTAGTCTAGTGTCCTGTTCTCACTGTGGCCAACCAGATGCTTGGTTGTGGGGAAACCTGCAAGCAGGACATGACTACAAGAACAGTCTTCCCTTGTGCAGTATTCAAAACATACTGCCTCCGACTGTGGAGGCAGCAAACAGGCATCATGGCTAGTAGCCATTGAGATCCTTGTCCTTCATGAATTTGTCCAGTCTTCTTTTAGCCCATCACTGGCTTTTGTGTGTGAGAGTTCCATACAAATGGTACTTATCTCTCCTGAATCTTCCAACATTCAGCTTCATTGGATCCCCATGAGTTCTAATGTTATGAGCGGAGGAGAAAAACTTTCTCCATGCCTTGCATAATTTTAAAACTTCTATCACGTCACCTCATACTCTTCTTTCCCCTATACTAAGAGTTCCAAATGCTGCAACCTTACATCGCAGGTGAGTTGTTCTATCCCCTTCATCAATTTGGTTGCCATTTTCTTAACCTTTTACACTCTACAATATTCATTTTGATGTGATGTGATGTGATGAGAACTGTACACAGTATGTGGTCACCCCACAGATTTGTATAATGGCATTAAGATATTCATTTACTAGTGATCCCTAGCATGGAATTTGTCTTTTACACAGCTGCCACACGCTGGGTCAACACTTTCATTGAGCTATTCACTAGGATCCCAAGGTCTCTTTCCTGGTCAGTCACTGCCAGTTCAGACCCATGAGTGTATATATGAACATGCATCACTTTACACTTGTCTACATTGCCTTTGCCATTTTACTCAGTTTGGAGAGGTCCTTTTGGAGCTATTTTCAATCTCTTTTTGTTTTAACAATGCTGAACAATGTAGCATCATCAGCAGACTTGGCTACCTCCCTGTACATCCCATTTATGAACAAGTTTCAAAGCCCGGGTCCCAATACCAATCCTTCGGGAATTCCACTTTTCTACATCCCTCCATTTGGAGACCTCTGCATTTAGTCCTACTCTCTGCTTAACCAATCCCTGAGCCACTTCTCATATTCCATGACTGTTAAGCTTACTCAGGAGTCTTTGGTGAAATATTTTTGAAAGTCCAAGTCCATTTGTAAGACATGGCTTGTCCTTGCAGAAGCCATGTTTATCTATATGAAATGTGTGGAAAAATCGTGGTATGTGTACAACTTTGCACGATTCCATTCTGGCTACCTTTCTGACATGAGATACTTTCCCAGATGCAGCAGTGCATTTATATAAGAGGTTATGAAAGGACCATACCATGCTTACAAATAATGGTTTAAATCAACCCTCCTTAATACATATTGGCAGATTTTTATGAGAGTGATAGAGAAGGAGCAGTGATACAGCTTGTGCTATTATTCAGTGTTTCCTCTCTTCTTTTCGTCCTCCTCCTATACTAGTCCCTCTTTTTTTTTTACCACTGTATTTTTTATATATAAAAAACAAACTTTTTAAATTTGTAGAATTTATATTAGTTTTACTCTGGGTACATGTGTGCAGCTGAATGTAAGTCTTCAGGGATTGTTTCCTAGCCTTTCAGTGGACTCATAGCAACCCTGTTCCTGGGAAATCCCATGGGCAGCTCAGTAGACACACATCTGTCCTAGAAAGCTTCACTCTATGAAATCTTTTATGAGGCCCCCCTATCATTTCTCCTTCCATTCCCCATAGCAAAACCAGTAAGGCAGCCCTGTATTGGGAATTTTTTATGCCTGATGTTTTACAATTTTTAATATATTCTGTAAGCTGCCCAGAGTGGCTGGGGAAGCCCAGCAAGATGGGCGGGGTATAAATAATAACATTAGTAGTAGTAGTAGTAGTAGTAGTAGTAGTAGTAGTACTGTTCCAGAATACACACACACACAAAATCTGCTAATAAAGAAATGGTACAGTAGCATGACAACCACTGGTAAATTATTGAAAGTGATAATGCACTGCAATTATGTTAGCTGGAGTTATTCCTAGACAATGTAATCTTCTGGAGAGAGAGAGAGAGAGAGAGAGAGAGAGAGAGAGAGAGAGAGAGAGAAAGTGTAACAGAAGTGAGAGCAAGCAAGCAAACCTATGGTTCTTACCTTTCCCCTGATGCTTCTTGTATAATTTGTCCTTCAAAGTTTATCGCGTATAACATTAATGAGGCTTGGCAAGTCTTAGCTATGGTTGCAGCTGTGTGCTGGAAGACTGAAGTTTTTATCATCAACTAAATTAAACAACAACAACAACAAAATACCCATGCAGTATGCTTCTTTAGTCTGTTTCTCTTCTCCTCCCTCAGCCCCCCTTTTCTTACACAAAGTAATGACCTTTTGTTATACCACTGGGTGAAGATCCAAAGTACTGCTGAAGCATTGCAGAGCTTGCCTCAGGGGTGCAGTATTAGCAGAATGAAGGCCAAAGAATGCTATTTTTAGTTGAACAGTTTGGCAGATGGAGGCATGAATACTCATATATCTGAAGGTTGAGGGGGTTTGAACCATTAATTCTGATAATGTATTTAACCCTGGGAACAATCAGAAACTGTAACTCTAAGGTTACAATGCTTTTGACCTTTAGAGAACAGAGGGCACTCAGTACAGTAAACAATATATTACATTTCTACTTATTCTAATTCTCTCACACATATAAATTTCAGGACTGGGGTTGACATTTGCTTTCCTCAGCTATTTTTGTGCTGGCCCTTACAGTAAAGTCAAGAAGAATGTG